CGGGGGTCAAGAGGAGCGGCACAAAACAATCAAAGCGCGGCCTTGCCTTCGCCTCAGTCTTCGCCTCCATGCCTTCCTCCCTGGCCTTGGCCTCACTGGGGACCTCAGCTCCATTCATGCCTCTCTCTGTGTTCAGATGCGACTCCGAGCTGCGAACGGCTTTGAAGACCACCTCCCCGGACGTGCAGCCCAAGGACTGCAGGGTGTCCTCGGGGGAGCCAGCCTTGAGCCCGTAACCTTGAAGCATTCCCATGCGCCTCTGGTGTCAAGACCCGTTGCTGGAACATGAACGTGGCTTTCTCTAGAGGAAGACCGTGATGCCCACACCACGCCTTCGCTGGCTGTGCCGCGCTTGTGGCGCCTACAGAACATGCCCCGCCTTCATCATCTTCCCCAAAGGCGCAGACAAGCGCCTCTTCAGCTTTGCGATCTGCTCAACTATCACACCTATCTGCACACTGCATGTGTGCTGAATTGACCAAAGCGAGCCAGGAAGGCATGTTGAACTTGACCTCGTTCACTCCGTTTGGGCTGTCCGCTTCGACTTTGACGGACATGCTGCGATTCCTCGGTTGGGAACTTTCGAATGCATCTGTCTAGGAGGCGCCTCCTGGGTGTCTCAGAGAAGGCTCGGATCGACAGGGCTTTCCTCGGCTTCATAGCACAGCACGTGGAGAAGCAGGGAAACGCTCTGAGCCGGTCGCTGCTGCATGGGCTCGCACCATGATCACCTTAGCAGCGTCCAAAAAACATGAAAAGCCTCTCTTCATGGGTTTAGCAAGAGCCGAGACCAGCACCCCGCCCGTGGTTGGGGACCAGCCCCTGAGGGCCGGCGTCTCATTGGCTGCGAGATCTCCTGCGCGCAGCCCTTCGCCTTCCATGAGCTGAAACCTGACATTCCGTGCTGGCTCCAGCTTGCGCTGCTCCCGCCAGGCTTTCATCATCCTCTCAAAGGTCGTGGTTGGTCGCATCCAGAACTCGAAGCACTCCACCTCGTCATAAACCTTCAGCAAAGCACGGCCGCCCGGTCGCTCCGACTCCACTGGTTTCGCAGGAGATGGATTCGTTGTCGGATGTGGCTGTGGTGGCTGCGGTGGCTGCGGCGGCCGCGGCGGCTGTGGCAGCCGCGGCTCCATGACCTGCATCACCCGCGGATCGCTCACATGCAATGCTTCCAGGATTACCTCTGTATTCGGTGACCAACCATGCGTCGCAGGGGTGTCACCGGCCTGTAATGGCTTTCCATTGTAGGAAACGAAAATGGAGTCTTGTGTCAAGCCGTGGTGTCTGCACCACGCGGCTGTGACTTTGCCGATGGGGGCAAGCATCTTCGTCCAAAAGCTCAAACCGGCTTGCTCTGAAGACGGCTTCAGCCGCTCGCTCAAAATACCGTGCGCTGCGATTCGGACTTGCACACGCGGCGCAGCAGATTTACTAGGAGGCTGTGCAGCTGACGGCTTGGAGGCAGACTCCGCAGCTGGGGCTGCGCTGTGCTGCGGCTGCGATGCCAGATACATGTCAGGTAGCTGCACAGATTGTGTTTTTGCAGGTCGATCACTTCTCGGATCAGCCCGGATGTCAAACATCTCGGCTCTGGGTAAATCCTCATCTGGTGCCAAGCTTTTCAGCGTATCTGCACTCGTGATTTCACCGCCAGCTTCTGCCTTGAAGCAAACATCCTCCAAAGAGAGGCCTTGCCTGCTGCACCACTCCACCATCAGGCCACGCAAGGCTATGTCTGGCGGCACGCAGAAGGTCAAGGAGGTCGAGGCATTCTGACGGTCGTCTCGCCATGCAGTGATGCGCACACGCTGGGTGCCATCGGGTGGAGCCCTCGGCTCACACTGGTGCTTCGCAGCCGCCTCCCAACGACCAATTTCCTCCGAAGTTGCACCTTCCCTCAACACAACCGCCATTTCTGTCGCAGCATCGGGCCCGGATGCGTCCATGTCAGGAGTCTGATCCAGTGGCACTTCGCGACCCTCGGAATCTCGTAAGCATAGCCCACCTGCCAGAAGACGATGGTCTTCGGCCCAAGCAGAGATCAACTTCTTCCAGGGCGCCGACTTGTGCAACCAATAGCAGTGCCGCCAGAATCGACCATCTCTCTCCGGTCCAAGCGCTTGGGGCTCCCATCCCTGCGGCAGCAGCTGGACCTGCGTGACGCACACGCGTAAAACAGCATTACTTACACACCTTCGAAGCAAAGCTGAGGGCATGTCCAGCATGGCACCGTCACCGAACATTGGGCCCTGCGCGTCCCCGTCAGCGACATGTCTTTGACAGGCCGCCGACGCCATTGGAGCACACCTTCATCCACCGGCACGCAAGCAGCGGCCAACAACAGCGCATGATCTTCTTCGAATCTTCGAATCCGTAACTCGAAATGTTTGGCATGTTGCGACCATCTGTCCTTAGCCTCCCCAGCTTCAAGCTTTACCCTGAACCGAACATCGAGTTGGGAGCTCAGGCTGTAAGTTGATTGCTTTACATATGTCTCATGCGAGCGGCGCTGTATTCGAACGACTTCTGCTGACATCCCCAGCCGAACACGGAGACACAAAAAATCACGAAACATCAAAAGCAACAGGCGGCGAATGGCGAAATTAAACAAGCCGGGCTGCAGCAGCACTTGTTTTGCCCACGCAAGGCGTGATCAGGTGTGTTGCGTTGGCCCAGGTTTGTGCGGGTCATCCGCGGAAAGTTTGCGGCGTGTTGGCGTTTACACAAACAGAAGTCATGACAATTTTCGCAGTTCGCTTTATGATTTTTTATGTCGTAAAGTTTTAGCGTTATTGTGCCATGCGGACTCGTGCTATTTCTTTTTTATGTCATGCACGGCGAAAGTGAACCTCAATCTTAGACGGCGGGCTTAAGCTAAACACACAGATTCGAACATGTCATAGAAAAATCACAGATGCAGTGCAGCATGGGTGATGCACATAAATGCTCCGCAGGAGATACGACGACGACAGCTGGCCTCACAAGCGCACCTGAAGACGCTCCGCACACATTGCACACCTATCCGCACAACCTAACGACTACGCTCCGAGCATGAATTCAGTCGCTGCCTCGTCTGACCAAATGAAACCTTACTCTGAACATTAACTTTCTCGAATAATTCCACGTTGACTCCACATGCCTACACTTATCGGCCCATTTCGGTTCATGTCTCGTTGTCGCTACACGAAAGCGTCAAACCACTTCACACCATTAACAGTAAAAAAAAACTTCGAACGTGCTTCGAGCCAGATTCCGCGACACAGAAATGAGGCAAGCTTCGGTCTAATGCTTGCGCTGTACACTGTCTACTTGACCACCTGCCTCATGCGTATGCATCGGCTCACTATGCAAAAATCGTCTATGATAGCATAGCGGCATAGCTGACAAGATCCGCAATGCTAGAATGCGTAGACAATTTCGGCGCCATGCTGCCCCACATTACCATATCGACGGGAACACATTACAGTGCCGCGGAGCTGAAGTTTTGGCTTCAGCATGGGCTTTGTTTGGTGGGGTTGTGCGGCCGTGGGCTATGCAAAACCAAAACGGCCGCAAGACGAGGGCTGTGTTGAGCACACACGTCGAATTAAGGCTTCATCGGGACGAGGTGATGCGGCCGTCAAGAAATCATCGGCACTGCCGTCCACTTCCTGTAGAGAATCATGTTAGTTTTCATCCCATGCATCACGGAAGTGTGCGATTCTGAGGCTCCGCTGTCTGCATGCGCAAGGCCAAGGCCGTCTGTCAGAGGTCGGAACGGTTTGAACATCCGGACAACGGCTCTACTGCCACCTGCAACAGTGGCCAGCATGCCTTTGTTTTTGCGCCTCCCCGCTTGGGGGCGGAGCAGCGCGGTTGCAGGCAGCTGGCGGCCGGCAAGGGCAACAGAGTCCCCTTGCTCGCATCCTTGTGCCTGACATGTGCGCTTGCAGGTACCTGACGCCTCCCACCAGCTGTAAGCGGAGGGATGGCCATATCTTGTTTTTTTCGAGCCTTTTTGCACCGTCACTCGCAGTCGGCGGGTTGAGGTTGCAAGCACTTCCACCACGCAGCACTGTGGACAGCACTTATTTCTTCATCGCTTGCATGACGGCAGTTACCCTCAGCCGGGCAGCTCAAGCGTCCGCTGCTTTTGCATGTAGCGGCGCATATTGATGCGGGCACGTGGCCTCGTCGAAGACGTTAGCCTATTCCATGGCGACCGCACGAGATATGAGACACGAAACGGCGGAACCCGCTGATTTACACCGGCGGTGAAGCGACGCCGGCCATAGGGGCACACCAATTGCCGATGTTACCAGGCACCTGCGCGCGCACCCGCTGCAACGTCGCCCAGCGACACGCAAAGATGCCACCTTTCGGCTGGCGTGTAAACAGGTGGCGACCGAATGCGTGGTAAGCGTAGGCAAAGACTCCGACGAGCTTTCGGTATCATCTGGGCGAGCAAGCCCCGGTTGTTGTGCAGAGGTCCCGTCTCAAGTTCATCCCGATCATGTTGGACCACATCACATGCGCATTCGCAGCTGTACGTGTACTGCCAGATCTGGGCCACAACAGCCGCTGTGTTGCAAAACCCACCAAAAATTTCATCACTTGTAAATGTGCACACAACTGTCCTTCTCGACACTGCGGGTATCGATTTTATTCACGGGCTTTCGTCTGCATCGTCACTCGCAGTGGGCGTGTCAAGGAAGGCCAGACGCAGCTCACAGCAGCACCTACACCGGAACTGGAGCTGGGCCAGCTGACGAAAGAGTCGTGGAAGATGTTGGCCTGCAACGGAAACATCGTCACACGAAGCGATCCCGAGTGGGACAGACATGTTTCGCGTGAAGCTATCCGCAAAGAGGCTGCCAACTGTGCTTCGAAGCAGGCCTGGGAATCTGAAATCTGCATTGATCCCTACGACAACATCAACGAATCAGCGCGCACGATACATTCGCTGCTGCCCTGACGAAAGAGTTGGAGAAGCAGAAGTGTACGAATCATGACTTTTGAAGTGTCCGTCCACAGGGTTGACGATTTGCATGCATTGACGTTCTCAGCATGATTGAGCATGGCTTTGTGCAACCATTGGTTTCAATTTTTTTTAAATCATGCCGAGTTTCCACATGAACTCAATCCTGTTTCTTCCATTGCCGCGGGTGCGTTCTACGAAACCAGTGCCTGAGCGGTAACCTAAAAAAGTTCTACTAGGCTTGCACTGCTCCACCACTGGGCACACTCTCTTTTTGACCGTGTTGGATCTGCTGTAGGCTTTGGGCTAGCCGCGGGGGCCTATGTCACGAGGCTTGACCATAGGCTAAAAAGCTAGATTTGGTGAGAGTAGTGAAACCGAGAACAAGCGGGCCATGGGGAGACTTTTTGGAGGCCTGAAAGGATAGGCAGGTTTGAGACAAGCCGGAAAGCAAGAAAGGCATGAGGCCCGCAGATGCTGCTGAGGCCAAAGCTATTGGGTGACTTCCAATCCCGCGCGTCATGGCACAATTTAGTATTCGTTGCAGGACAATATGGTGTGCAAAGCAATGCTTACTAGAGGAAGGTCCTCTTCGTGAGGCCTTCATGTGTACTGTAGGAATAAAACTGCCTTGTTTGGCAACTCAGATTCGCTTGTTGTTGCCGTTACGGCCCCGTAGTGCACACATCCATTATGCCCGCGGACGGCGCATCAAGACCGAGTGGAGGCCAATTTGTTTTCGCATGCCTCCCTCGTGAGCTAGATCCACACCATTTATCAGCAGTGCTTGCAGCGATGTATGATTTTCGTTATAAAGTCTCACTCAATCCAGCTTCGGCAGAGCTGGACCTCCTCATTTTGCACTAATAAATGATCGAAACATCTGTCGCATTTCAAACTGGAACAATTGATCGCAGCGCTGGAATTCCATTTATTGTCTCTTCAAAAGCTGCTTCCGTATTCTAAGTGTGTTGCAAAGGGCTTGTGCCGGGTGGCCCCGATCAAGTACACGTCGGCCTTGCTTTCAGGTCCAAAAAAACCGTTTGCAGTGGCAGTGGGATTTCCTTGCTTGGGGGTGGGCCTTGTGGTAAAGTGCCTCACGGGTCTGCGCCCCAGTGAGTTGCTCAGGCTGCATGAACAACATGTGACGGCCTTCAAAATTCATAATTCGTTTGGGAGTGGGCTTGGGAACCTAAACATCGGCGTGAGCATGGCAAACTGCATTGATCTATTTTTTTTGCCACGAACGTTTTCGAGCACCTTCCGCGGTCCCAACGCAAGCTGCGAACTACTGGCGCATTTATTTATTGTGCACGCGATCCTGTTGACTGGTGTGCTCTGGCAGTGGTTTCAAGAAGTGGAGCCGTAGACAGCTTTGTTCCCCGTTTCGTATGCTCCGTACCGCCACCTCGTGGCCCAAGTGGGGAGGCACTTGGGGCTGGAAGTTCCATTTTACTCTATTTTACTCCGCATTCTCCCCGCGCAACGCGTGCGACTAAGGACTACTCCAGGGATTGCCGCGTCGCGGACATTCGTCGACGAGGACGTTGGGCATCCGAGCAGTCGTTCAAGACCTGTCTCGAATTCGTGTCGGCCGCGCACGTGCAGTCAGCTTTCCATTTGCGGGGCGTGGGGCGAGCCCAAGCCTACAGTGAGACACAGTTTGTAGACGCACTTTGCTGGTTTCTTTCCTTCTAGAGTTGTCAGGACGAGCCATGGCTGAGGGTGTCTTTTTTATTTTTCTTTCTTCGCGCCTTTTTGACCGCAAGTAATGGCTCGACGCAGATCCCTGTGCCGAAGCGCCCCACATTGTAGCGCCGGCGCAGCTAGGG